CATAAATACATTTTTGTCACCTGCACACGAAACGGACATCGGCTGCGATTCGAGTCGAGTCGAGTCGACTCGAACCCCAGCCACGGACAATTTTAGTACGCGCTGTACTAAAAACTCACCGACAACTCTTACTCTCACTCGCTCTCTCTCTCTCTCTCTCTCTTTCTCTTGCACTCTCTCTTCAACTCATTTCCCCTAGCCGAAAGCTTGCGAGGTAAGCTTTATTCCTGAAGTTCAGGCCAGGCAACAAAAAGTTAACGTGTCGCACAATGCGCAAGGTCAGTGCAAGCTGGAAAAGGTAAAAGCAGGAAGGGGTAGCAGCTAATGCTCTTGCTGCTGCTTGATGCAACTGCTGCAACGCAGCAAAAAAAGCTCTTTGATCATTTGCCACGAGAAATGGCGCTACCCTAACAACTGCTGCCAGCTCGGTCTCTGCCTCTGCCTCTGCTCAACTGCTGCTGACGTTGCTCATCTACTGCTGCTGCTGCTGCTGCTGCTGCTCTGTTGATAACAAAGTTTTTGCACTCTCACGCAAAGCTCTGCTCCTGGATAAAAAGGATGCGCGCTGCCAGCACACTTTCAGTTGGATTCTGAGCGAGGCAGCGGCAACAGCCAAAAAGAAGAAGCAGCAGAAATCGGAGATAGAACTATATATATGTACATATATATATATAGACAACGCAGCCTGGATGGCCAAGGAGTGCTAGCTAGGAAACTAGCTCAGAGTAGTGTGTGCGCGTGTGAGTGAGCTTGTGTTTGTGTGTGTGTGTGTGAGTGTGTGTATGTGTGTATACATACAATCCAATTTGTTTAAGTGTGCGAGCCGCGAAAGAAAAGTGGAAAAGTGGAAGTGCGTGTGCTCTCGTTCTCGCTCTCTGTGGTCATGCAATTGCTTGGTGAAGCCAAATAGTTGACTGTTCTGCTGCCTGCCAGACACACACACGTTCAGGACGCAGCGTGCACCAGCGTGAGTTGAGCCTGCGACGCACTAGACGCCTTGCACAGCCGCCGCACTGGCGTCGTTCTGTGAGCGCGGCTTGATGCCCGATTCGATGATGGATATGGAGCATCGGGATCATCAGCTGCATCGTCCACATCATCAGCAGCAGACACATCGTGTGGTGGCCACAACCAGCACCAGCACTTTCGCACCACCAGCGCCAGCGCCAACAGCACAAGTTGAAGCGGCATCAACGACAAGCGACAGGGACCACCAGCTGCCCATAACAGGCACGCCAAGCATGCAGCATCATCAACAGCAGCAGCCGCAGCAGCAGCAGCCTCAGCAGTTGCATCTGCAACAGCCATCGCAGCAGCAACAGCCACCTCAATTAAGAGAACGCGAACACCACCAACAGCAACCACAGCAGCAGCAGATGCAGCAGCAGCAGCAGCCACTGCAACAACAACAGCAACAGCAGCAGCAGCAGCTACCGCTGCCACACAGTCATCATGCGCTGATGCAGCAATCGCATCAGCAGCAGGCCATACACAGAGCCGAGCAGCGACGAGGTGAGTGAGGAAGAGCGCATAGCAAATGCCTGGGAAATGCCTGTACATATATTAATAAACATATATACACATATACATATAACTAATTGTGTATATATTAAAAAAAATTGAGGCTGCTTGCTGGCTATTTTTTTTTTTGTTTTTTATTCTTCTGTTTAAAACATTCTTTATGAACTTGTTGCGCGGCTGCCCTTAAAAATATGCTACAAATTTTTTGAAGCGCTGCTTTTAATGTCTTCATGAATTTTGAATATATACATATATCTACGAGGGTGGTCTGAGGAATTGGCGAACGTAGAGTGCAGCAAGACAAGCATATATACATAATTTAGTTGAACTCTTGATTTTATTGAACATTTTTATAAGTTAATTTTTTTTTCCACTATTATACTTTTGTTAAGTCATAGATTTTTCTGTCCACCCTCGTGTATATAAGTACCTTTTTGTTGCCAATTTCATTAGCGGAAATGGCAAGCGTTCTGTACTCACTTCACTCAACAGGCTCATCATATATTGATGCAATTTGGCTGCCAACTGATCAGAAAAGAGCTGAACAAAAATTTCTTATATATATTTTCCTTGTAAGACCCAAGTCTGGCAAGCTCATCAAGTATGGCTAAGTATGTGTGTGTGTGTGTGCCTAATGTATTATCTTTTATGCACGCTAATCGCTTCATTAGGCAGAACAAAAGGGTTTGCGCCAGTTAAGCCAGGCTTAAAACATTTTTTGGCATGCACGCATTTTGCATGCAAAATTCAATCAGAGTGTCTCAAAAAGAAACACACACACACACACGCACTCACACCGAGTCATATATAACAACAGCAACAGCAACATCAGCCGCAACAACAAAAATAACAGCAACAACTACAACAACAACGTGACCCATTTTCCACGTAAAGCTTTCTGCCTGGGGCTGCTGTGCTATGACGTATGCGTGCAGGGGCGTCAAAAGGGGGCTGTAGAAGGGGAGTGGCATGGGAGTGCTGAGGTCTCCTTCACAGCCACTGGCTGGTCGGTCATTAAAAAATTATGAACCACATGCCGTTTTCTGCTGGCAGCGCGTATTAACGCAACGCATTTCCATTAAAGAATTATCATAAACGCAAAAAGTTATCTTATTTATCAAATACGTTACAAATTTATGCAGAAGCGAGCTAAATATAGCTCAAGTATTAAAGTATCAACGACAAGAGAAAGCAATGAAAGCAATGAGAGCAGAAATTCATGCACTAAATATAGCTGAAATATAATTACGAATCACAAAGGCACAGCAAAATAAAAGAACATAGAAAAGTATGTCATGCGAAAAGAGAAAAACTAAAAATATGAAAATATTTGAAAATTAAAAAAAGTTAATTTATAGAGCTAAAAGACTTGAAATTGTAAAAGAAACAGCTTGAGAAATTCATTGCTTCTCATTAATATATGTTAAGTTTAGAAGGTGTCGAAACGTATATTTGTCTTGCTGTGAAGCTGTTAGTGTTAGAGCAGATAAGTACAGTAGAATCTAGCTAATTGAGTCTTGCGCTAGCTAATTAAATTCTTGCAGACAGCTTTCAAATTTTACCCCTCTCGCAATTGATTAGCTCTGACTAAGCTCTCGCCTTGCTATATATATTGTGGGCGCTTACTTAACCTAGTTTTATAAGCCAATTTAACCGTAAGCCAACTACCTAATGACTGTATTCTCTTTTCACCAGCCCACATAGTGCATTAGCTGCCGTAAGCCAAGTAGCCTAAGCTAATATCTATTATACATTTTCCCCTTCCAGCTAATTACAATTTGATGCTGGTTTATTTTTAAATTTGGCTCCATAGCCATAAATCTATTACCACAGCCACACACATATACACACACATACACGTAGCTAAGAGACCTTCATTTGTCAGCTTCCAACCGACACCTCATTCCCATCCGCATCCGCACATTCAAATTCGACGTCAACGCCATTGCAATTATTTCGAAATCAATTTCAATAAAAGTTTCGTGCGGGCCCAAGTTGGTCCTTGGGCGAAATGTTTAACAGCTTGTTGGCTTAACGTGCTCTTCTATAGGTAGTTACCCACAAATACCCATCAAAGTTGCCACTGCGCAGAGTTTCAGCTATTTTCAGCTTTTGCCACCCAGCCTTTTGGTTTTGATGTCTGTGTCCGTATCTGTGTGTGTGTGTGTGTGTGTGTGTGAGCTCGTTAAAAACACTTTGCCTGACGCTGAGCGCTTGGCATTGTTGCAAGTTCTCAATGAACTGTAATTGAAACCGAAACGGAGGCGGGGCGAAGAGCAACACAAAAATGTAAGCGACACTAATTGCCAGTTGCAGTCGGGGAAAAACCACAAGACAAACTGCAATTGCAGCTGCAACTGCCGCCACGCGCGGCAAATAGCATTTAAATGCATGGCATGCAACATTTATGATTTTTGTTTTTGCAGCTTTAGCTTTAGTTCCAATTAACTAATTAGTGGCTTTTGCATGCAGCGAACACGTCACCAAACAAAACCAAAAAACAACTACTATGAAAATGACAAAAGTAAACAGAAAGAGTATATGCCACGCCCCACGACCCGCGCCCCGCGCCCCGCGCCCCGCCCACTCCTCAAGTCCTATTAATTTTTGACATATATTTGATTTATCGTATTCTTCCAGATACACAAGCAAAACATTCACATGGATTTCTCTATTGTAAGTCGCACGAATTTGGAAAAGAAAAATAAAGAATGAATAAAAAAAAAAACAAATTATTATTAGCCTTTTTTTATTTGAAATGTTTATGACTTGCATAATTTATTAACTTTCGATGTATTGGCAAAGAAATACTTGAAGTGTGTTTTAAATAAATTTAATTTTGAGTAGTGGGTTTTTCAGCGTGGAACTCATATGCCAACGCTTTGTCCCCTGCCTAACGAAGAAGACAAAAAGAATAAAAAGAAAACAATAAAAATATATAAAAATATATAAAATACCCTATCCACATTCCCAACAGACAGAACAATACAAAAATACACAGAACTAAAGCTTAACTACTTTCAACTACGATTATTTCCTTATAACATGTTTCTTTCAACCTACTTTTCTACTGCATATAACTTTCTATGGTCCAGCTGTCGCGCGCTCCTAAGTATGCTACAGTTTTTTCCTTTCAATATTTACGTATTTTTATGAAGTACCTCGCTGTACAACCAACTATTTTTGATATCTCTCTCGGGGCCTCGACTTGCTGAAAGGCAACAGCAGAAACTTGCAAATTTTTTGGCTAAACTTTTTTTGTGGAAATTTGATATTTGATATTTGATATTTTTAGCTCGTCGCGAAAGATAAATATATAAATATATACAACTATATAAAGATTTATATATATATATACATGTTTTCAGTTTGTTTTTGTGTGTGTTGTTAACTCGATTTAAACCTTGCAGCATTTTCGCTGAGTCGCTTCCATTTTGCGCTATAATTTTTCATTTTCTCTGGCCCACTCTTTTCTGCAGCGGACGAGGAAATCAGCGACAAGGCGTCGACATGCGGCAAATTGCTTATATTTCTGTCCGTGGCACTTGTGATAATGACGCTGCCCTTCAGCCTGTTCGTCTGCTTCAAGGTAAGCCCCATCGTCCATCAAATGCAACTCTTTATTCAAATTGCAGCGTGTAATAATTTGAATGTATAAAGCGAACGGACGAGGCAGCCAGGCAGTAAGCCAGCCCGCCTGACAGGCTTAGCGAATGACTGACAGACAGATGGACTCAAAGATTATAGTTGTAATGAATGATTGATGGATTGATTAAATGACTAACGGACTTACTATTTGAGCGGCTTTGAAAAGATAAACGACTGATTGAACGACTTACTGGTTAACTGATTGATTGAACGATTATTGATGAGCTGACTTGTTGTAATTAAATAGAAACTAACTAACTAAATAAAAATGACTAAATGATGGATTGATTGATTGACTAACTAGTTCATTATGGAACAATTAGGTTTTTAGTGACTGATGGACTGACGTACTGATAAACTGATAACTTTACTGAACGTCTGATTGAAGGACGATAATTACTGATTGACTGTCTGACTAACCGATGACTTGATTGAAAGGCTGATTGATGAAACAACAGACAGATTGATGAAGAGACTGGCTGACTGAAAGCCTATTTCAGATTGACCGACTGAACAACTCAAAAATGATTGACTCTTTCCATAATTAATACATTAACTGGTTTATTGATTGACTGACTTATAAACTATCTACTGATTAATTGGCTGTTGGATGGGCAACACACACAGCCAATAATTAACTTATGCAAATGCAATGAGGTTCTCTTCCGCCTTTCATTTGATTCGGAAAAGGCAAATAAAAACATGGAAAATCTTTGTAGAAGCACTTTTTTAATTTATCGACTGAAAATGCCCAGATAACTTTAGTTCAGCTTCTCGTCTGATTGATTTCATTTATGTTCAAGCATAGCCAAAAGCATTTCTTTCTAGAAAACTCAGCCAATTAGTTCAAAAGAAGCTTAAAAATTCATTTAAGTCAGCAAAAAAAGTGTGTGAAGCGATAGATAACAGAAAATGAAGAAGAATTCACTCGGACAAAGATGGATAATAGCTAGTTAGTAATGCATAATACTTTATTACGCATGAAATGCCAGCTGAGCTATGCAGATAAATCATTATTTAAAAAAAGTGCTGCAGCTGCAAGCCAAAGAATAAAATTCACTGAGAAATTGCAGCTCATGGCCGTAGCTCGGCTAGTTTTCAATTTCATTTTGCACATTTTACTCACGTTTCGCTTCCTCTCTCTCTCTCTCCCACTCCCTGTTTCTCTTTTTCTCGCTTAATCTCTCTTTTTACAGGTGGTGCAGGAGTACGAGCGCGCGGTTATCTTTCGCCTGGGTCGCCTTATGCAGGGCGGTGCCAAGGGTCCAGGTGAGTGCTGTGGGTGGTTGGCTGGGCTGCAGCTATGCAAATTGAAGTGTCGCTGGCGTCGAGAATTTGTGTTAATAGCTGCACTTGCTCCAAATTAGCGTCAACTTTTTTTTTGGGGGCCACACTACTCGAGTGGCTGTCACTTTCAACGCCCCGCCCCGCTCAGCTGCAGATTATGACTCAGAAACTGTTTAAATACTTTACAATGCTTTCTCTCCCTCTCTCTCTCCCTCTCTTTTTATCTCTTTACTCTATTTGCAGGCATTTTCTTCATACTACCCTGCATTGATTCATATGCACGCGTCGATTTGCGTACTCGCACCTACGATGTGCCCCCACAGGAGGTAAGTTCGTTGCTCTTCTTTATTTTTGGCAGCAGCAACAACTTTTCGTCTATGTGTTGTTGTTGTTGTTAAATATACTCACACACACACACATACTCTCACACGCATACAAGCCAACACACACACATGATTCCACAAGCACCCACACAGCTGACCATTTAAACGCTGCCAACTAAAAAAGTGAAATACTTTAAAAACGAAAAACTTTTAGCTTTTGCCACACAATTTGCTTACCAAAAATTTTGATTTTGTGTCTGGCTCCCAAGAACACACAAACACAGCTACAATTACTGTTAGACATTGCTCATATGACAACACACACACACACATACACACAAAGAGCATACGCAACTGGAGCGTAAATTACGCATACGCAACGTTTTCTTTGCTTTCCTTTCGTTTCCTTTTGCATAGCTGTGCAAGTGTGTGTGTGCATTTTCCTTTCCATGTGTTGTTCTTGTTGTTGTTGTTCTTCTTCTTGTTGTTATCGCATGTCATGCTGTTTACTTTGGTTTTCATTTCAGTTGCTTTTCTTGCTTTTTCTTTTCCTTTGCGTTTTCCTGCGTAACTGGGTTTCCTTCCATCTCTCGCTATCTCTCTCCCTCGCTTTCTTTCTTTCTGTCTTTAACTTTTCACAAACAGCTAAGATACTTTTCTAAGCCACACACACACAGCTAACAGGAGGAAGCAGCAGCAGCAGCCGCAGCTGCACTTTGGTTGCCTTTGCTCACTTTTCTTTTTGCATTTTGTTTGCGGCCACACACACACACACACACTTTAATATTCTTGTTGTTGTTGTTGTTGTTGATAGTTGTATTTGTTGTATGTTTCAAATGCTATTTACGTATATGGTAATCGTTGTCGTTTTAATGTTGCCAATTTAGTTGTTATCATAATTGTCATTGGTTGTGCACTAGACCACAACACACACACGCACACGCACACACACACTCACACACATACAAAACATAAGCATATTCCATTTTATTTGATTTTGATTTCTATTCCTGTGCATTTGCCCCTCATTATTTATTGGCTTTTAATATCATATGCATTAAATGCGCGTGGCAAGGCTTAACGAAGTGCAATATCTAGAGCAAGGCGAAACGTATTTAACGATGACGTCACTTGGAGCAAACACAATTATGCTTACAGCAACTTTTCACTAGCTTTCCAGATACCTTATATATATATATATATATATATATATATATATATATATATATATATATATAGGCACACACATATATGTATCTCTATAATTTTCTTAAAAACTTTTTCGTTTATTCTTTTGCTGCTACCGCCAACAATTTGCAATTTTCCATTATTTTTTTATCGGTTTCAGTTTTGGGTTTTATCGTTATACCCGCTTTTTTGTTGGTTTTTGTTGTTGCTGTTTGTTTAAAACGCATGAAGGACACTGCGGCCGCACACAACTGCAACTTTAATGCCAACTTTTTATTTTCCCTTTAACCATAAGCGCTCTCGTTGTTGTTGTTCTTGTTGTTGTTGTTCTTGTGTGAAAAGTGCATACGAAATGATATTCGTGTCGCATTCATTTATTATTTATTGTTAAATTCCTTCATATTTTATGTTCGTTGATTTTCGGTGTCTTTAAGCGTCTTTAAACTTCAACTTTATTACAATTTGCATAGTTGACAAAAACTCTGATTGTGTTTTTTGCCAATTAGAAAACCCAAAAAAAAAAAAACAGAAAAAAGAAACGAAAAAAGAACTAAGCAAATGCTAAGCATATCAACTGAAACTTATAACCTGATGCTCTGTGTTCAGACAGAGCAGCGCCCTTAATGCACACACACACAGTAAAGAATTTTACTAATTGGTGGGCGGGGCCTAGTGGGGAGGGGAAGGCGGAAGGAAAATTAAAAAGCTAAAAGCAAAAATCAAAAAAAAAAAATTATGATAAAAATTGGCTCGCTCGAATGAAACTGAAACTGAAAATGTATGTGAAAATGTTTGTTCACTGAACACAGGGTATATACACGCCCACACACACTCTCACACACCCACTCACACAGTTCTCTACACACACACACGCACCTAGCTTAGGTTTTGTGTAGCAAACAGAAAGCCAGCCAATACACTGAAAGAAATTTCATTGAACTCGAATGCACACACCACAAACCAAGCAGTCTATCTCACTCTGCCTACACACCTCTCTCTCTCTCTCTCTCTCTCTCTAACTCTTTGTGTAATTTTAACTGTGTCTTGCTCACTCGCCCGCTCGTACCAACCGCCAAGCAGCTTTAACAGCTGCTTGGGACAAACTCCCTCTCTCTCTCTCTTTCTCTCTCTCTCTCTGTCTATCTCTGTATCTTTCTCTCTCTCTCTGTCTGTCTCTCCCACGCTCTATAACTCTATATATACCTCTATATATATACTGATTTTGTTTTTGAGCTATGTTAGTTTTGGTTTAGCAAAACAATTGTTTTTGATATATAAAAAAACCCCAACAACAAAACCCCAAAGAAACAAATAAAAGATATTGCTAATATATTATGAAAAAAAGAACAGTTACACGAATATAACCAAATGCACTTACTTTTTGATATACCCCCCACTCTCCCTCCGTTCGAATAATATTTTTGAGAGCATGCTAAATATATATATTTCCATAAATGTCTATTCTAAAAAGCTTTCTTACTGTCAAAACTAAAACTTAAAAAAATACAAAAAAAATCCAAAAATAAAAATAAAAACCAAAAGAAAAACTCTTAAAACTCGTACACACACATACACACTCACACACATACATATTGTTGGTTTCAAATTAAGTACAAATACAAATCATTCGATAATTGAATATACAACATTTGTTGTTTTGATTTACTGTACAGTTTTAGTTTAGTTCACACACACATACACACACACGTACTCACAGATACATGATCGTATATACATGCTTTATAGTTTCCGACAAATTTATGAAATATATTCGTATATTGATTGTACTTTACCAAACTAACTAAATAACCGTTAACATTTGTTCTGTTTGAGCACTAGCGAAGGACGCTAAAAACGTACGCACCCCAACAATAAAAGAGATCATGCATATATATATAACTATATATATATATTTATTCACACATTTATATATATACAGATATATATTGTCATATATGCCGACAAATACAAATATATATATATTTTATATACATATATATATGTATATCAAGCAAGCAATCCATGTCGAGTTCATCTATGTGTGTTTTGCGTGGTTTAGGCTGTTTAAATGTGGGTACACTCCAACAACAATTTATAAATATTAAAGAGAAAAACAAAGCAACAACAAAAATCGCAGCAAGAAAAATGTAAAAAATTTCGCACGCATGAAAATCAAAGAGAAAAGCTAAGAGCAAAGCCGCCGCCCGCTCGCCAGCGTAACTGTAAAAACCAAATACCGTTAGCTCAGCCAACCCTAGAACTAGTATCTCTATCAATCTATCTATATAGAAGTATGCATATACATATATAGTGCCTACATCGGTGTTTTCGTAACACCCCCGAAAAATAAGTGGAAAATGCATTAAATCGCATCTCTAATCCAATTCCCGCTACTCTCTAGCTCTACACTATTGCTATCTCTTTCTCTATATATCTCTCTCTCTCTCACTCACCGAACCCGCTCTACCTCTACTCGCTCCCCCCCTCAGCCATAGTCAGCTATATGCATCCGGTTTTAGCTATGTTTTTCAGTTGAAATATGATTTACATTTGGATGAAAAAAAAAAACAAAGAACATAAAGAAAATAAACAAATTTCTAGCTAAACGCTGTGCAAATTGTAATAAATTATCAATTATATCGTTATATATATCTAAAAATCTCTCTCTATATATATATGACAACAAAACTCATTAGTTTAGCTGTTACAGTGTGTAAAGAAATATGTATGAAAATTGTGAAAAATCCATTTGTTTCTAATTAATGAAAATCCATGAAATTATATTAATTACAAATTAATGATTTTCCTATTGTTCAGTTCACGTTTCATTGTTCGCTCATTTACTCTATATATGCCATGCACACACACACATAGACACATAGATACCTGCGCCATTTTAACAATTTACAGCCAATTTATTCCACCCACACACGAATACAGAGCACACACTTACACACACACACATACACTCGCCGTCTATTGTTCGAATTGTAAGCCTTTGTTCTCGAAAATTGATTTAGAGAGAACTGCATAGACACGACTCTGGCTGCATTCATTCGTTGCGTATAAATTTCAGCCTTTTGAAAATATATTCATATTTAAGAACTTAAGTGAACGATACACAAATTAAGTTAGTTGCAAAAAGTTTGTGGCCTGCAAGTTAAATAGAACTGCAAATGGCTAAAATTTTAAAGTTTTTCATTGTGTTTTCTCTGCCCACTCGCAAAGCAGGTCAACAGAGCATGGTTAAAATTAAGTATACGCACAGTTGGCCATGGAGAACTCTATTAAATTAAGCATACGTCCAGGCCATTTGACTATAATTAAGCATACGCACAGTTGGGCGCAATCTATTCAATTAAGTATACGCACAGTTGTGTGCAATGGGAAATGGGAAATGACGGCCATTTGCAATTGATTTTCAGTTGATTTTTATGCAAATATGGAAAAATAAAAAAGTTTTTTCTTCTGCTTGGCTAAGGCATACAAATACTTGAGCAGCAGCCACAAAACGCTGCTAAACAACATTGACACCCGGCCCAGAGTGTACAATAAAAACCGGTCTAGACTCGACACGCCACGCCCACCCGTCCCCGTAAGCCAAACTGTAACCGCCCCGAAATGTAGCCAGGTCGTAAAAATCTCAACTTGTGAGCACCAAAAAAAAAAAATAAGAAAAGAGCAGAAGAAAAACCGAAGGCAAAACTTTTGCCTTTTGGTGCAAATAGTTTTGATGGGCTTTCTCAAACTGTTTGAGTTTCAAGTTTCTGGGGTATAGGCGCTTGTTTTTCCTCGCCTCTGGGGCAGGTCAACAAAATACGAGAATTCGATAACGGACGAGTGAGATAGCAGTTGCAAGTAAGTAAAGGAGAGATAGAAGATGCGAGTAAGTAAAGTGCAAACGCATAGAACAGCCCAATAAACAGGAACCAAAAACATGTACAAAAGAAAACATATCGCTATCTCTATCTATTTGCTACCCCAATCTCTCTCTCTCTCTCTCTCTTCCCTCTCTTGTCTATATCTTATTTATAAACATGCTGAACTAATCTAATGTGTTTTTCCTTTTACATTTAAGTTCATTTCGTCGTTTTGTCTGCCTTTTGATTTGCCACAATCTTGTTTTTTTTGTTTTGTATATACTTCTGTACCATATTTAGACAAGATATATATATATATACATATATATTTATATACGATTTTTGTGCAATAAACATACCTATATATTATACACTGTAACGTCAAAGCTCTTGAGTTTGCTCCACGTATCGCTATCGAGCTCATATCACAAAGAAAAATAAAATATCACCAAAAAGAAAGAAAAACAAAACAAAGCAAAACAAACAACAAACGAAGCAACTTGTATCTTGCAACTTGTATCTAAAGCGCTTGACTTAAGCAGCTAAAATGTGAAATGCAATAGTCAAAAACAATGCAAAATGGCTTTCTGTAGAGCACACACACACACACACACTTAGAGACTCATAAGTCAAAGCAATAATCAAAATAAAAGCCACGAGTTTCGCTGTTGTAAAGTGTCTCGCCCTCTCACACGCTCGCCAGCGCTGCTTGGCGTCAAAGTTTGCACTCTGCACTTAGCTCTAATAAAGAAAATGCCACAATCACGTTCACGTTCACGTTCACGTTCACGTCCAAGCGCCAGCTGAAGACGCTCCAAAGCAAGTGCATTTCGTGTGCATTATGCTATGCTAAGCAAAAGTGCATCTGCAGTTGCAGCAGCAGCCACTAAATTATTCCTATTTAGATGCAAGATACGAGCCAAGCACAGATACGGCTGCGAAACTGAGCAAGAATTGGAGATACCCTTGCAGGCAAAGTTTTGGTTGGCTATAATCTTGATAGACTTTGAGATATGCAAAGATATATAACTATATATCAAACGAATAACTTTTGCTTGAAGCTTTTTAGCTTTTTTATACAATTATTCAATCTAAATCGATCAATAATATTTTTTTATTATTGTTTTCACACTACGAATCGTGACTATATAATATAAATTTTTCCTACATGAAAGTCACTGAGTTTATCAGCTGTTCTACTCTGTCTAGTAATAGACTTAGATTTCATTTTGTTAAGCTACTTCTTTAATAGCCAAAAGTTCCAATAGCTTACCTAAATTAAAAAATATATTTTCAAAGATTTTAGAAGAAATAAAAATGATTTCTAAACTTTATATCAATCAACTAATATGCCAACAAGCTCAAGTCAAATGTCGATCAAACAAATTTCCATAAGCCAACAAGAATCTATCTAATTTATATGCTCAATTGCTACGAGCTCACTGCAAGGGTATACAAATATGAAAAGTTAAACTTCTGTGCAGCTTATCAGTACACACACACACACTCTCACACACACTGGCAAACAATAATATGCATAATCCAAATAAAAGAATAACAAACAAAAAGCAAAGCCACAATAGAACAACAACAAAAATAATAATAATAAAAAAACGCAAGCAAGCACGCAAATAGAGACGAACAAGAAAAAAAAAATAAAATAAGACAATATACAACAAATAGCAAAGAAAACATAGAAATATAGAAAAAAAAACACACAAAATCCACTGCATCTTGTAGGTTCTCACAAAGGATAGCGTTACGGTTTCGGTGGATGCAGTGGTTTACTATCGCGTATCAAATGCAACCGTCTCTATAGCGAACGTGGAGAATGCTCACCATTCGACCAGACTACTGGCACAGACTACTCTACGAAACACAATGGGAACTCGGCATTTGCATGAGATACTCAGCGAGCGTATGACGATTTCCGGCACCATGCAGGTGAGTACCACACAATTGCGAGCAAGGCTGCCTAAGTCCTTTATGCCCCCTGTCTTGTTGCACGTAATTGACTTATGTGCACCGTGCCACCCGCCAGCTGTACCCCATCCGCACAGCCTGACAGCAGCCTGTGACTGGCTGACTGCCTGGCTGCTGCCTGCTGCTAATTATTCAGCGACTTTAAGAGTTCTGCACGCAAACTGAATACTAAATATTAATTGCTAATTGCAAGTTTTGCAGCAGCTGCCAAAAAAAAAAGAGACAAGAAATCTGCTGTCATAAGCCTGGCCAAAAATGCTTAGCAGATCCAAAACTGCGCTCTACACTTAAAGAAATCCAGAGAAACTGGCTTAAAGTTTTATTTAATTCGCCTTAGGCAAGTGAAACTTGTGTTGAATTTATGTTTATATAAAAAATATATTGTTTTATATATTTCATGTAAGAAATTATAATTTTAAAATCATTTTCAAAATTTTCAAAAATTTCTATAATTTTACAAAATGCTTTCAATGTTTCATTAACAAATAATTTGAAAGAATTTTATTCTTAATTTTATTTTCCATAGAAACACCCCGTTTTCGCTCAGTGTAGTCGCACTGCAGCACATCTCGACAGCTGCTGCTGGCAGCTTAACCCAAAATCCATGCATTTCTAGCTTTTAGCTAGAAGCGTTTCAGCCACGACTCCAATTCGTGCTTCTTACTTATTTATTTTATTTTCCTTTTATGGCCATATGAAAAATAGTTCAAAATCAGGCTGAAAACTCACGCCGAACATGGCTCGAATGCCAAGTCGGCAAGTTGGCAAAACCCGTGCTGCAGTTCTCTTTTTTCCATTCAGTTTAACGGTTTCAAGGATGCTGCAACGACCCACAAAACAATGTGCAAAAAAAGAACTCCCCAAATACGACAGCAAGAAAAATGTGAAATGTGAAAAGCATCACAGTTAACAGCATGAAAAACGTGTGTGTAAACAAAAACTAATGTGTTTTTCTACTGCTATTTTCAAACACACACACACACACACACACATGCACACATGTACATATATAAACACACACCTGGCAATGTTATGTGGGCCAAATCATAAACAGGTTCAGCTCGACGAAGCGACCGATGCTTGGGGCATCAAAGTTGAACGTGTTGAAATGTAAGTAGTGCAACTTTTCTGTCACACACCCACACACACACACACACACATACTCGCACCCTTTACACCGGTTTCTATGTCAAAAATGTAGGTTGGGTTGCGTGCCTTCACTCTCTCTCTCTCTCTTTCTCTCTGTCGCTTCTTTTTTATTACAGTGTAGGCGTGTATTGGCCTTTGTCTGCTGTCATAATTTATTATTAACCGCGCTGTGGGACAAGTGGATGCGCCCGCTGTTCCTGGCTCCAAGGTCTGACCAGCTGACAGCTTGTCAAACACATGACCAACAAAATGGCAAACAGCAACAACAATAGCAACAACATTAGCAACAACATTTTGTGGTCATGTTTTAGCAGCTGCAATGGCCAAAACAACGTGAAGTATTGAACGTTGTTGTTGTTGTTGTTTTAGCTGCCATGGCCACTGGCCCGTGTTGCCTCTTTTTTGTGGCTCCTTTGTGCGTGCGTCTCTATGAAAATTCTGTTACATTCTTTATGAGCGTCTTCTACGTCTTCTTTTCGCATACGCAAAAAATATTTTTATGAAATTAATCAGCCGATAAATTTTTGTTGTCATGGCCAATAAAATATGGTCGACATTTAATGGCAGTGCCCAAAATGTTGTTCTTGGTAGAAACAGCTAAGTTGAACATAGTCAAAGTTTATATACCCTTAAGGGTTCGACAAGCTTCTATATACATAATAAAAATGTCAATTTGTTGAGCCTTTGGTCTTTGGTCTAAAAGTTGAATTATTTTTTGTACACAAAAAGTTCGATAAATATATATATATATATATATATATATATATTGCTTTATTAAGCTCGCATCAAATTTTCGCTATGCCACAAAGTTTTCGTCTCACATCAATCAAACAACGAACATCAGCCAAATGTGACCTTTAATGTTCGACCCACTCAAATGAAGCTTTGCAGTTTGCGGGGAATTCGTTTTTTTGTTTGCATCTAGTTTACAGCTAACACGAGTGTTGCCTGCTAAGTGCGTGCAACATGGCTAATAGTAACCTCTTCTTCTCTCCTGGACAACAACAGCAAGGATGTGCGTTTGCCCGTGCAGCTGCAACGCGCCATGGCCGCCGAGGCCGAGGCAGCGCGTGAGGCACGCGCCAAAGTTATTGCCGCTGAGGGCGAGCAAAAAGCATCGCGAGCGCTGCGTGAGGCATCCGAGGTGATTGGCGATTCGCCGGCAGCGCTGCAGCTGCGTTATCTGCAGGTAGGCGTGGTCGACAAATAATATGCTCATATATATACTCATATACTATTTAAAGTTTGCGGGAATTTCCGACAATATGAATTGATTTTCTTTGCATATTTATTTTTTATCGAAACTCTGTCAGGCTTTATGTATAAGCACATATATATTAATCATATATATATATATATTTTTTTTTTATTGCTATAGACTCTCAATACCATATCCGCGGAGAAGAACTCAACGATTGTTTTCCCGCTGCCCATCGATTTGATAACATATTTCCTGAAGACTTCAGAGGCTACCACGCAACAGAATGCGGCCGCCGCAGTTGCCGCCCAGCAGCAGCAGGCGCAACAGCAACTCATGCAGCAACAGCAATATGCGCAGCCGATGCAGCAGCAGCAGTTTCAGCAGCAGCCACAGCAGCAACTGATGTCACCGCCGCAGCAGCAACAGACGCCACAACAACAACCACAACAACAACAACAACAATACCAGCAAACGCAGCAAATTTCATCAGCTATGTAAATGACAATGGATGCGTTTAATAAAAGTTTCGGCATAGCCGACTTTTGAATGCGTTGCACGAGAACAGATGCGAGATAGCAAGGAGCAAGCTGCGGTTGGTTGCGACCGACTGCATGATACTCGTTCATGCCGCAATTATAGTTAATAATATTGGGAGATATAGAAGATGTGAGATCAGAATTAATAAAACTTAGAAGAAAGTTCAAGGTTTTCTTGAGACAATTTGTAGAGTATTAGAAAGATCACTAGCTTAAAACAAAAGAAAAGAGAGTAGAAAGAAACCCAAGAGAACGAAGAGAACTTGACAACAGAGAAAGAAGAAAATCTTTGTAGCTTTAAGAGATATTTTCTTATTCGATTTGCTATGCCGGCAATTGCAGACCTATATTAACTTACTATACTATCAGACTTAGATAAATATATATACGTATATATGCATATGCCTAGTATAGATCAAGGTACATATTCTACGAAGCCAATATACTTATAGTCAAAACGTGAACGAGTATCAAATAAGTAGTGAAACTTATGTAAGCTGCGCCACTGCCATGTTAATTAACATAGCCTTAACAGAATGTTAGCAGCCTTACATTAGAGCATATACACTGTCTTAAGTGCAGCGCAGTCGACACACACACACACACACACTTACACACTCTCACAACAAAAGTACTGCATACAACGATTCTGTGGAGAATCAAAAATAACAAAAACAAAAATTTAGTTCTAGACACCAAGAAGTGCGATTCGTATGCATTCGTATATAATAATATATACATAGAACAGATCTAGGTACAATACCTAATTGCCCAGATGTCGGCGAAAGCTAGTGAAAATTCTAAAACCAACCAGTTTTGAGAATATTAAAATGGATTAGCTGTCATCAACTAATACATTTTGAAATACTCAAAAATGGTTGGTTTGGTTTTGAATTTTCGTCAAATCTAGTTTTCCGGCATAGTTTTCAAACAGTTTTTGAGGCACATATATTAGAGATGTTTTTGTGTTTTTGTAAATGTTTAGACGATAAGCGATGTTAATAAGAAGAATGCATTAGGTAAATTTCTTATATATATATATATAGTATATATACTCATATTGCATTTACAAATTGCTCTATAGCTGTTTGTGCCAATTGTGATGGAACAATTTGTAGCGCATCGAAACGAAGGATAACGAAGAATCTATAACTGTATGGTAATACACACACGGAATACTACATATACATATATATATATAATCGCATCTACTGACATATATGTATATAGAAATATATATGTAAACAGAGTTCATCTGATTTGTCGCAGTCAGCACAGTTGAACGGAATTCGCTTTCAACAGCTGCCTTATAAGTACGATATGTATATGAATATACTATATACGATATATACAGACCCAAAGGAAAATCAATACAAAACAATACAAACGTTATCCCGGAACGTTCTCATATACAATAAATAACTGTAATACGAATTTATTGTACATACAATATTCAGAAATCGATAAACCAGGACAGAACTGTTTTAAAACATAATAGAACATATATATATATATATAATATATATATATATATATATATATATATATATATATATATATATATATATATACAAACATATATGTAAACATACAAACATTCTAATCATACGTTGGCCAGTTACGTCTACATAGTTATTATAGTAGGGTTTATCCAAATCGAAATTCAAATTCTAATTCAAATTCAAATTCAAATTCAAATTCAAATTCAAGTTACAATTGCTTAGAATACATTTGCTTAGTCTTCATTCCAAGTCAGATCGTTGCATTAGCAATGCATTAGCAGTTCATTAGCCTTTCACACACTCAGAGTTTACTTTTTCGCGCACTTCATTCAACAATTAGCAAATGACTTCTATATATATATATATACATACATTAACAATAATAATCAATTACATACAACATACGAGTATATATATAAATTATGTACATTTTTGCCTTTGAACAATTTTTAAAAACGAAACGATTTCATTATTACTTATACATATATATGTATATATGTATATATGTATACATATAAATATATATACATACATATATATATATATATATATACCTATATTCAAATGGGAAACGTACAATAACAAAAATAAAGCAACTTTTTTGGCATACAAAAAAGCGAAAAACACAAAAATCTAACTCGTTTTAATCATACATATTTATTTCCAGCCAAAGACTTTAGAAAGTAAAGCCTTTAAGAGCATATAAAATCAAATTCGATGCCATTTAAGAGAACATTTAATTTACGATCTTTCAGCTTCCAACAGCACCTCCACTCAACTTATTCTACTAAGAAAGGAACACAAAAACAAACATGGAAGCCACTAATATGTGCGCTCTCCTATGATTTGCTTTTGTACACATTTTCTGCTTCTTTTCCTCTCTGCACGGCAAACACAAATTAACTCTCAGAGGCAAGATGGCGGCATAAAGTGCAAGGAATGAAAGAATCAAAAAGGCTATTGAAAAAAATTTCAGAGCATAAGAAAAATTAATTAAAGTATGAATATAATCAAAATAAAAACCGAAGCCAATATAAGTGAATTTATGACTTAATGCAGCAGCAATTAAAACGAAACTTCTGGAGTTTTCTCACTATCCACATTTTTTTCGGTAAAACTAACATGCTAATAGGTCATCTCATCATAATTATCAAATATGCTATTGATATTATAGCAAACACTGTCACAAAAATATCGGTTTTCAGATTCTTTTAACAAAATAATTACATGTGAAATTTAAATGCAGCTGCGCCGACAAAGCGACAGCAGCTAACGACGAACGATTTGCAACTGATTTCTAATAGCGATCGCCCTTCCCATATTCCAGCATTCTAATTGGAAAGCTGAAAAAGAGCCTTTAATGTGTCCAAAGAAATTAAAGTGAAACACGAAACGCAAGAATGTTACGATAGAAAAGGATTTTAAGAGAGCATTAGCTAAGACACGAACCAACACGTAAGTAAGTGGGCTCATAATCCAAATGTATTGAAATCGCAATGTTATTACGATATTAAAGAAAAGATAATACAATAACCGTGCAAAACTACAAAAAACTTGTTTGAAATTGCTCTAGGAAATAAATGTAACTAAAAGGCAGCCTTAAAAATAGTTTTGCCTTAAAAGCACAGTGTTTTGCATACATTATTGAGGTGCTAAGCCCAGCATTTAGCTAAGACCTGAACCAGTAGTTGAATTCAATTAGCTGGCACAGAAACCGCAACACACTTATATCGTAAGCTAATATTTTACCTCAAATATTACGATATTCATATTTTTAATACTAAAAACAAAAGTTTCTGATTGTTTTATTACATATTTGTTCATTTTATTGATTTATTTGAATGCATTTCTCATTACACATCAGCTAAATTCAGTTTGCATGATTATAGCAGAGTTTTTGTTAAGTTTTATGCAAATATCTCTGTTTTTCATTTATAATTTCTTTATGTCTATAATTAAACATATGACAGTGTTTTGTTTTTGTTTTTTCCTTTTTTTAATGATTTTTACTTATTTTGTGAGCAACAAACGGGACGGCTGTTGGCGGCACGCCCACTAAAAAAAGGCGTCGATGTGGAAAATTTTAGAAATCTGTCCATTTGATTGTATAAAAATTGTTGTTGCTGTTGTTGTTGTTAATGCCACTTGAACCGTTAGTTGTTGTTACTTATTGTTTATTTGTTGCTATATTTGTTTTTGTTTTTATTATTATTATTTTATTAATTCAATTCAATTTTATTTATTGCTACACATTATGTCAAGTTAATATATATATATATATATATATATATATATATATATATATATATATATATATATATATATATATATATATATATATATATATATATATATATATACAAAAATTTCATCAACTACGCTAAACAATTTCACTGTTGCTTATCATGTTTTTGTTTTTTTTTGTTTTATATTTTTTAATTATAACAATATTTTGTAATTTAAATTTACGTGTGTGTGTGAAATGCATAAATGTTTTTGTTCTTTACATATACATATAGATATATATACTTATTTCTCTTCTTTTGTTTAATACGAAATGCTAAACTTTGGTTTTATGCTACAAAACACATAAATTGAAACATTAAGCGAACTTAAGAACTATAACAAAAATAATAATTGAAAGCAATAAATTATGTATGTAATATAGATAGATGTGTGTGTATGTATTTATATATAGTAATTGTTGTGATAAGAGTTCTGATTGATCATATATGATATATATCGCTATATATATATCTTTTATCCACTTGAAACCCTGGAGACTGCAGTTTATATGGCTTTTTGACTTGGTTTCATTTTGTTTTTGTTTTTGTTTTTTTTTTAGAGCACAAACATATAGAGGAGAGGAACTAAATGTGAGCTATAAGGCTATCAGAATATATATATCGATCTAAATATATATATATAAGTGTGTGTATATATTTGCTTTTGGACAGTGCTTAAGTATACAAAAGAAAAATTCTCATAATTTTGGCATCAACTTAATATTTATAAAGAAAAGCGAAAAAAAAAAATAATTTTTTTACATTTTTATAAATAACTTTTGTTTTGTTTTTAATTTTAGCCTCAGCGTTTGTGAAAAATAAATGATTTTACTTGGAAGTAGCTGGTCGGACTCTCTATATAAAGTTAAATGCCAACATTATAATTTATAATTTAAGTATATTAATGTTTGTTTTTTTAGTTAATTATTTTTATTGATTGTGTTAAATAATACTTCGAGTTGTATATATATCAAGAGGATAAACAAAATTAGTTCAGCAATAAACAATTTTAGTGGATAGTTGGAGAAGCACTGAAATTTGTTTTTTTTTATTTTGGTTTTTTGGTAAAGTTGAATTAGAAAAGTTTTGAAATCGATTTAGCCATATTTTGAGTTTTGCTTTTTTTGGGGGTTTCTTCATCTTCTTATTTTCGTTTTTCGTTTTTGGTTAGCTTACAAAACTAGTTAAATACTTGCTAATTCAATAGTACATACAAGTAGGTATATAAATTATAAAATAGTTTTTTTTCGCGTGTAAAATATAAAATATTTCATTTGCATACGCTTATACACATATACATACATACATATACATATATATATATATAGAGTAATGTTATATTTTGTTGCTGTTGTTGTTAATGCCTTGCCATTGTTTAAAAGTCTTAAGAATTATAGTAAATATGTATAAATGTGTTTACGTTATAAATATATATATATATATTTATATATATATATATATATATATATATATATATATATATACATATATGAATAACGTTAAATATATATATATTTATAGATGTGTGTGTGTGTGATGTGACTGTTGCTGCTTAATCCTGCACCTCCCGATACGGCACCTCGGAAGTCACCGAAAACGATTCGAAATAATGATTCAAGAATTCGAACGTGGGCCGCTTCTCTGGCACCGCATCCCAGCATTGCAACAACAGATGATAGATATTATCGGGGAAATAATGTATTGTTGGCTTTGGCATACGGAAGCCCCGCTCAATATTCTCGATCACCTCTCGACTATGCATGCCCGGATAGGGCACCTGTCCGTACGTAAACAGCTCCATCAACAATATGCCGTATGACCAGACATCCGATTTAATGCTGAATTTGCCATATATAATCGCCTCAGGCGCTGTCCATTTGACGGGGAAACGCGAGCCCTGCTTGGGGCAGTATTCATCGTCGGCTATAACGCGCGCCAAGCCAAAATCACATATTTTTGCCACATTATTCTCGCCGATGAGCACATTGCGTGCAGCCAGATCTCGATGTATGAGCTGCTTGGACTCCAGATATTCCATGCCGCTGGCAACCTGGGTGGCAATATAGATGAGATCCTCAAAATGCAAATAGCGACCCTCGCCCTCGCGCAAAAAGTCCAGTAAGCTGCCATTCGACATGTACTCCTGCACTATGTAAATGGGTTCCTCCTGACAAAATAGGAACGACAGATTAGATACAAGCTGAAGGAGCAGTTTGATTATGTTTTAGTTAACCTGTGAGCAGACGGCATAGAGAGCCACGAGCCGATTGTGTCGAAACTTTTTCATAATGGCCGCCTCTTGCAGGAATGCAGCTGTGGACATTGTGCCCTCTCTGAGAGTTTTAACGGCCACATCGATGCTGTTGCGCCATTTGCCATAGAAGACTTCGCCGAAGTTGCCGCGACCCAGTTTGCGCAGCAACTGTATCTCCGAGCGTGGTATTTCATATTTATCGCGCAGCTCCGGTCCCAGATCCCACATCTGTGGCTGCGGCTTGGGGCAGGGACGCGACAAAATGTGACACAGACCCAAAGCGTTTTCTGCAACAAAAATAAAATATGATTAAAAAAATTCTTGCCGCTTAAACGAAAGCTCTCCACTCACTGCTGTAGGCCATGACGAGCGCTTGCAGCGAGGCGAACGTTTGATTCGTGGCTATGTAGAAGCCACCATTGTCCAGCGGCTTGATGCGATAGTGTTTCACATGATATCCACGTCCATCCTCCCAGTCCTTCACCGACAGCGAATAGCCATTCGGATTGTGCTCGGAGGGCCGTACGAGAAAGGTGCCGCGCGGATTCTCTTCGGCCAGCAGCAGCTTGTCCGCCTCCTTGCGCAGCACGTTCTCAAAGAACCAGCTAGAAAATGAGATATAGACAAGAAATATATTATAGAGGTTTATAGACAATTATAGATATATATGTATGGCTGGTGGAGGAGGCTTACTCTTCGCTGTTGACGCTGCGCTCCTCGGCCACAAAGTTCAGCGGTATGAGACCCTGTTGACGTGTGCTTAGATTGACGACGCGCCACCAATCCGATTCGGTATCATCGACAACTTCCATGCGGTCGCCTTTGGTAAAGCTCAAGTCAGATTCATCGCGCGATTTATAATCGTAGAGCGCGACAACGACGCGTCGCTTGGGCAGCCCGCCAGGCACGCCAGCTGCTAAAGAGAGACGGAGCGAGAGAGCAAGATGTAGTGTGTGTGTGTGAGTGAGAGGCGCATAACTTTCGTCTGGTTGCAAATTTGATTTGCGGTTCGGCGAGGCAGAAATTGCAATTTATGTGCGACAAATTGGCAACAAAATTTTTAAATATCTAGTTAGCATCTAATTGGAAGTTAATGAGTCTCTGCTGCAGTCTGTCATATGATATGCGAGGGTGGTCAAAAAAGTTGTGTTTTCAAGTCGAACTTTCAAAATTGATTAGCATAGCTTTTGGCGCAGCTAACTAAGCAATTGCCAAGCCACAAATTCAATTCCGTTTTAGTCCCTAATTTTCTTTTACTTTTCTTTTTTTTTTGGCACTGCATTTGGCATTTGGCTAATTGATTTAGCCCACACGGACAACTTGACATGTCTTTTCAGTTGTTTCTGTTGCTGCTGCTGTTGTTGTTGTTGCCTTGCCCTGCATTTGTCGCACAAGTGCTGACGCGTAAATCTCGTTTGAAGCTTTCAGCCTTTGTCGGGTTTACACGACCTAAGCCGCTTTACCTCTAACTAAAATTTGAATCAGAAACACACGCAATGCAGCGACAAATCAAGCGACAATTAAACGAAATCATTGCTGAGCAGCAAAGCTGGCAAGCAGGTGCAAAAGGTGGAAAAAAAAACTATTTCAACTGGTAGACACTTTAATGACAACAAAAGAATGATGAACTGAAGCAAAGAGACTGAAGAATAAACACAGAAATTAGTGCTCAGTTGCACTACTATTTTTATGAACAAAACTATATATATATAGAAAAGCTGTTCAAAATCTTATATATATATATAAAACTATATCAAGTTTTTATTCTAAAAGTTTCTAATGGATATTTTCTGCTCAGACTTCTTGCTTTTCTAAGACCTAGTCTATATATATTTCAACTTTCACCTTTCAAGTTGGCTAACAAACTCTATTGCCCACATTACACACATATATATATAATATATTCATATAACTTTCGCTTGCGTCAAATGTCGACTGAGCTCTAATTATGCAATTCGCAGTTCACAGTTCGCCTGTCAACTCAAACAGTAACAGGGCCAACACACGCAGCAGCTGGTCAAGGTTAATTCAAAACTGTCACATAAGCACTGCAAATATGCGAAAGACCTTCCGTAACCCTCGACTCCCGAGAGAGCAAAGTTGAAACTGGCTAAGCAAAAATACCAAAAGAAATAGCTAATTAAAAGTGAGAGTCAAGGCAGCCCTTAGCGTCAACTCTTGAGCACCTTGGGAGTAAATGATTTTACTTATATAAAACCTTATTTGAGGTAATCAGATATGCCTTTTCTATATGTTTATATAATGAAGATCATATAAATATTAAAGAAGCTTTGACAAAAATTAGCTATAATCTGATTAATCTGATCTGATTAGCTTTGATCTGATCTTAGCATGAAGTTAAATTCAATATGCAATAATTTGAACGTATACTTCTCGGACTACCCTCGTTTTTTTGTGTGAGAATGATTTACTGAGCAACGTAGAGCCGAATATTGTATTTTATTGTTAGTTTGCACTTACTTGGTGTGGTGCGCGTTCGTATGATGTCGACGCCGCCCTTGGCGCCAATTTTGAGTGGTCCGCGATTCGGGTCCGGCGTATAGCGCGAGTCCAATGAGCCGCCATTGTTGTGCTTCTGGCCGAGGGCGGCCACCACACCGGCCCCGCCGCCACCTGCGCCGCTGCTGTTGTTGATGTGCGTCTGGCCGAAGGTGTAGTCGGACTTCTTATAGCCGCCCGTGGGATAGGCTAAAGCCAATTCCTGATCCTGACGTTTGCTGCAGCATTTGTTGCCCATGTTGCAGCTGTCGTCGGGTGTGTTGCAGTTGTTGCTAGTTGTTGTTGTTGTTGTTAGTTGTATTTAGTTGTTGTTTTTGTTGTTGTTTAGCAGCAGCTGCAGCGGCTTTGCATATTTGGCATATTCCGTGTTCTTGCAATAATTTGACTTAATTATAATATTTAAAATGTTTTTTGGTTTGTTTTTCCGCTGCTGCTGCTGCCGCTCCTTGTTTTGTTTGCAGTTGTTGTTCTTAGTATTTTAAGCTATCAGTCAAGTTGTGTGTGTATGTGTGTGTGTGTGTGTAGCTGTGCAGGTGTGTTAGTGTGATGCTGCCTCTTAAGCTGCTTGCATTAAAAGTTGCATGGAGGGCATTGCCTTATTTGTTTTTGTTTCTTTAGCTTTCAAAAATGCATTATAAAAAGTTGTTGCTGCTGCCAATGTTTGTTGTTTGTTGTGTTGTTGCTGTTGTTAGAGCTTAGCCTTGCTGTTGCTGTTGATTATCCTTGCGTCTGTTGTCCTGCCAGCGTGTTTAGCCAGCAACTGTCTGCACATTGTTCAAGCTGCCTTCACCTGCAAAAGCAAACGGAAATCCAAAGAAAAATTAGTTAAAGCTCATATAAATATTCATTAAAAGTACGCACAAGCACTTCAACACACACACACACACACACAGAGAGAGAGGTAGTGTCGTTGACCCATGCCTAGACAACAGACAAAACACAATGCTGCTTCACTTCAATGTCCTGCTGCTCCTTAGATAAACGTTTTTGGCACATCATTTCACTTCAGTTGGCAGCTGCAGCAGCAGGTTGACCATAGCCCTAGTGACAGTTGCTGTTGTCAGCAGCAGCAGCAACTGCAACGGGCAACAGCAGCAAATATAAATTGACGACGCACAACAGATACCCTATAAGCAGATACTCTATAAGCAACAGAGACCTTAGCATTTGCTCTTGACGGCGCAACTAACTCGACTAGTTTCAGTTGGGTTGCAATGAAATAATAATACTTAAATAACTGTTATTTCAACAATTAGCATAGAACATAAAGAAATAAATATATATGAGGCGCAAATATTTATATAAATATAAATATATCAAAATATAAAAATACAAAATTAGAGAAATCTCAAAAATGCATATAAAAAATTATAGCTATTATTCCATACTATAATGTTTACCCGCTTCTTTATTATTAAGCTGAATGTTTGTTTAGCCAACCCCATTTGAAATGCTCTACAAAAACAGGGCATAGCAATTGCCTGTCTGTCTGTCTATATGTCCGTCTGGCTGGCAGGGACTGCACACATTGTCTATTGACTGAAGGCCTGGCGGGCATCTGTTTATTGTTCAATTGGATAATTATGGTCTAGTGTGCGTGTGCCTCACACTATGTGTGTGTGCGAGGCCAAGGCTGTGGTTGAGCACAAACTGCTGCATTGTTGCACAAATGGTTGCAGCACTTGCCCCAAATATTAAATTGTTATTGTTGCGCATTTGTTGGCAGGATATTTAAGTGTGCCTATGTGTGCGTGTGTGTGTGTGTGTCTGTGTGTGCGCAGCTGCTGTGAAATTGTGTCTGACAGTTGGCTAGATGCATTTGCGGCATTAACTAATATCCTGGCATTAGCTCAAGTTATCTATTGCTGTCAATTATTTAAAGCGACCTTAAAGCGTGCCAAAATAAAAGAGAGAGAGAGACAAGGAATAAAGGATATATATATATATATATATACATATATATATATACAAAGGGACAGTCAGCGATAGCCATCGGCCACAAAAGCGCAATAAAAATTGTTATCTTTGAAATGGAAATTCGTAGAAAGTCAAATATTAATACGACTTGCGAAATCCTTTTGCCAGGCCAATGACAACGTCGGCTGCCATGCATTGCGCTTTAAACAAACAAAATACAAAAAAAAAAGTAAAAATAAAAAAAGAACAGAGTAAAAATAAAAAGCAACAAATACAATAAAAACTTTGCTCGGCGCGCATAAAAGTCAAACTTTTCATTTCGGCGACAGAGTTCATGAACCGCAGCGTCGGAGTCTGCGGCAACAAAGCCGCTTGCCAGGGGTCAACAGCAGCGTCAACAAGGGGCAATAAAAACCAAGGCACAACACACACACAGCTTTTATGTGGCGACTGTCTTTATAATGTCAGCGAATTGCTGCAGTTTGTTTAGCTTCAACATGTTTAACAAATTATTTTTATCACCTGCGCAAGGTGCAAATAGAGGAGAAGGACGAAAGTTAGCTTAACATGACCACACATGTTAAATGACAAATCGATATGTATATATAAATCTATATATATCTATGTACATTGCTTTTACTTTGTGCACGACATTTTCACGCATATTTTTTTATAAAAATTTTATTTTAAGGGAATATAAAACTCACGAATATAAAATTTAGACTAATATCAATGATTTGACTTAAGACCTCAGCTAATAACCCAGGCCTTAAAATATTATATATATATTGTTTATTTAAACAAGAGGAAATTTACTTATAGTAAGCTCTGTCTCTGAGTTGAACTCTAATGGCAGCTTCAACTGGAAACTCTGTTTGCTGCAAGTTATACATATGTTGGATTATCGGCTTACTTTATTATTAAGCTGGATTTGTTTATAGTTAAACTGCATTTTATCGTTATTAAACACAGAAGAATACAATTCTATTAGCTAATTGAAACAACTGTCAATACAATAGATGTTAATAAAGTTTAAGTAGATATAGATCAATTTGAGAATCTATATAAAGAAATTGCAGGCAATATGTCTAGAGCTCAAGTACTTCAAGTAATATATAATATCAAGTAATATATATATATCAAACATATATACACATCTCTATATCAATTCAGTATTATTTATACAAACTTTATTTAAACCCTTTAAAAAAAGTTTCTTTTTTTTTTCAAATAATATCTATATAAATGATATTTGGTTTCACGAAAAAAATCAAAAGATTTATTCACAAAAGTAGATAAGGAAATTGTTTAAAAGATATCTTATTCCTGCAGACTTTAAAATATTGAAAATTATCAAACGGAAAATATAATAAAAATAATTTTTATAAATAAATTTAATATTTGTATGTAACAATTCTCTCTCCATCCAATATTATATTATATGTACTATACGGTTGCCAACGGAATTGCAACTTCGTCGATTTACGTTTTTGCACCCGATTTTCCACAGTTTTCATTTTGATTGAGTTACGGCCTTTTATAATTTCCGCGAGTTGTTGTTTTGTGGTTCACATTTTTCATGCAACACCTCGATAGTAATTGGTAGCATGCCACGACAACCAACACACACACACACGCACAAACGTGCACAGCTACTGCCCGACAGGTGGCGCTTTTAACATGGCGCATGACATCGACAAAAAACAACAGAAAATGACAAACCTTTCAAATTCGAAATTCGAGAGGTCAAAGTTGAAGCTGAAAATATGAATATTTCATTTGCAACTATGATGTGGTGGGTGGGCGTGGCAGTTGGCAGTTATCCAAAAAGTAGGCGTGCGAGCGAGCGAGCGTGAGAGAGATAGAGTGCATGTATGTCTGTGTCATATGACATGAAATTGTGAATTTCTAGCTTGTTTTGATGCCTCTGCCGTTGTTGCATTTGCCACAGTTCAAGTTGACAAAGCGAAATGAATACTTAATTGGATATTGCGGCTATGAATGCGCCTGAAAGGCGGCAACGCAAATGCCTGGCATCAAATTAATTTTATGATGCCTTCCATTGTTCATGTTGGTCACGGTGGTCACAAGGATTGAATATCATGGGACCAGCAATCATGCTCACTGCATAAACCCTTTGACATAATCCAAATTAAAGTGAATTACATTTCATAGTTGAATTATGACAAACAAAGCCACAATCTAAAGAAATAGGCTTCGACTGTTATTATCTTCTCAGATGGGTAAGCTCAAGGTATATTTATATAAATAGTAAACGCTTTTTTAAAGCCATGCTGAAACATCTGTGTTGAATAAACTACTGTTTATAAAAAGAATCCTAAACAGGTCACAGAAGCACTTCAATTTATGAGAATTGCATAGAGAGGTGGAAGTCTAATCCCATGAAAGATGGCTTCTGAGAATGATCCAAAGACTGTGGGGAAAAAACAGCGAGAAAGACAGAGGCAGTAAAAGGGGGAAGAGAGAAAGGGAGGAAGGGAGGAAGAGACACACAGAGAAATGTAGACAGAGAGATAGAGATCAAGGAAGAAAGAGATAGAAAGTGACTGAAAAAAAGTGATAGGAAAAGGGAGATAGATACAAGAAAGGAGATATACAGAGTGACCGTAAAGGTTTGATAAAAAAAAAGACAGATAGTAAGAAAAGAATAATTAAGGAAATACAAAATTAGAGAAATAGTTTAAACCCTATAAAAAAAGAGTTATAGCATAGAATAAATAGAAAGGTAGGTAAAAAACAAGACATAGCAAAAAGAGAAAGGAACGAAAAAAAAAAAACAAAAAGTAAATGATTAAAAGTAAAGGAGGAAAGCAAATACACAAATAAACAACCAATACATTTCACTCCTTGCTATACCCCTTTTCCCAGTAGCCCAATTGACCAGCGTAGCTTAATCAAAGTTACCCAAACCGTGCCCCATTCTTTCTCGTTTACATTTTCTCACTTTACGAATCAAATAAAGCTCGCTATTTAGCATACAAATTTTCACTTTGCGTGTCACAAAACTAGTTTCTGTCAATAGAGAAAGAAAAACGACAACAGAGAGAAAGAGAGAGACGGAGAGAAGCGGCAAGCAATCCTCGCTGACGGAGCCACATCTAATAAAATCAAATAAAATGCAAAAATGTATATGAAATGAAATGGGGCTGCGGCTTGACAGTGTGCGCCAATCCTCGAGGACATAAAGGCATTAACTGTAAATGCCGTAATGCCGTCATTTCCTGATGACAGCCTGACAAAAACCAGAACGCATAGATACGCCCACACCCGCTCACATCCCCATTTACAGACATCTGTGTGTGCGTGTGTGTGTGTGGCCTGCTGCTCTTTTACATTATTTTTGGGGTTTGTGCGGAAAGGGATTTTATTACGCCACATTATTACAATACGTATACGCCCCGTGCGACTTTCTGTTGTCAGCTGCTTAAAAAGTCAATTTTTTTGACGTTCTACTCCTGTTGCCCTGTGCCAGCTGTTGTTGCACCTGCCCGTCAGCCCTACCCCGCTGCCTGGTCCAACTGTCAGTCGTTCACCTTTAAAGAGTCACGTGCTATCGATTAACAGAGAGCCAAGCGACATAGAAAGTAGGAGAGTTATAGACAACGTGCTAGTAGCAAAATGTGTGCCAGAGCAAATAAATGTAGATTTATTTGTCCCCAGCTGCGACTCCTTCTTCCTCTTTGCATAAGTGAAATATTCCCCGAGCAAGAAAATCCTGCGACAG